GAGAGGACAGTGGCAGGAATTGTGTGTTTTGTGTCAGGGAAAACAAGACCGAACACCTTCTCTTTGCACTTGGAGTGGAAAGTGGTCATGCTCGTAATAGTCCTCTGGCCCTTAGAGTACATCTCGCAGCCTTTGCTAGCGCCGTAGCAAGTTGCGTCTCGTAGAGCTGAACTCCGTGCTTAAGAGCTCCGCTTTATTCCTTCACCAGACTTGTGCCACGGCTTTGAGCCACCACTGAGCACCTTGCAAGTAATGCCTCAGGAACCAGTCATGACCTGGATTTGGAAGTTCTGTGCAAAGTTCATTGTAGAAAGTCAGGCAGATGTGATGAACCCACATTATCGGTGTTGCTAAGCTGATCTGATACAATGTTCTATGTAGCTGGGGTTTTCTAAGTGTTGGAGACTTTGTATATGGATATGTTGCACTGCATGTCTTCCAGATGAGAAACCACAAAAACGTGAGTAAGACTAGGGCATCCTTATGCAGGGTGGAATAGAGTTTCTCATGAACTAGAGATGACAGAAAATGTTGTTTACAGAAAACTGTCATGGCAGAGGTTAGCATCAGTGAACGCTGGAAAGCATTACAGATTGATTTGACGAGCTGTAATCAAAGACAACTGTACCCTGTGAATGCTTCAAAGTACTTTTTTTGTGCGCTAGTATGGTTTTATCCAAGCTCTCTAAGCCTTGGTTAGATAAAGCTTTGTATTTACTGTTAATGAGATGGTCACATTCAAACACTGGGTCATCCTGGAATTGATGATATGGTCATATAAGATAGAGCGAGCAAGCTATATATCATTTGTAGGATGGTAGTACTAGCATTGATGTTTTCTGACTAGTTCACCTAGTGGCTGCATGTAAATGTGGGAAAAGACTGAAGAGAACTCATGCATGCAGTTCTAGACATAAGGCATCTGGTGATGAAATGCAGTTTCCCATAACTTTGATGTTGGGTTACAGGCCTTTAGAAAGTACTCAACCCATTTTAGCAAACTGCATCTTTCACCTCTACCTGATAAGACAGCAAATGCTGTGTACAGGCTCTGGAACATGAAAATGCCTTTTTGCCCTCTATCCACTGACAAATGGAGATCATCCATCAGTGCCACTAATGTAATTTTAGTTCGGTGTCCTTCCCTGACCTGAATTCAGAGTCATGAATTCAGTTTCATATGTGGTAGTTTCAGTCATCTAACTAATGGCATCTCAGAATTTATCCAGTCTTCCATTAGCATGCATTGTCCATTGAGTGTCATTCTGTGAAGTGTTTGGGACATCTTCAGGAATGTGCCACCTGAGTCCTTAGCAGGATACAAACTCTTCAAAAACACCTTCTCTATGGAACACAAATGACCACTCATTGCAAAATCACCCAAGAGTGCAGGGTGAGTGGTTTCCATCCTGACAGACTGTAATGTACATTGCAAAATCTTTTTCCTATCCACAGAGAGTTAGAAAGAAACTCGTACAGGAAAATCCTTCCTAATCCCCAGATGCTGTAAAACATAGCAGCAAAATCCCTCTATCATCGTACATGAACACATACTGCAAAATCCCACTGTGGCTATACAGACGTAAATCTTAGAGCAGATTCCTGCCCCCTATTTCTGCTTCCCTACCCCAGTCTTAGTATTTTAATGTAGAATGTTGCATGGACGCATTAAGAGTACTTTCCTTTCTGTGTCAGCCAATAACAAGAACTCCATGGAGGCTGGCATCGTCCCAGAAACACTGTAAAAGACGGCAGAGAGATTTGAATTCTGTACGCCAGATCCTACGATGTTGAGCACATGACCGCAACATAGGTAAGCAGGTTTAGTTTGGCACCCTGCAAGGTATTTTTAGTTTCCCTTTGAGTAAGAATGAATAAATAGGTCATTTGGCTTTCCTCAGATGACATTCCTGCCTGGAACAGATACAACTGCGATGCGAAGGGAGAACTACGTTCATCTGACTGCTGACATGCAATGTTGATGAGCAGTGCTGAGAGGGGAGGTTTGGTGTCCTTACGCACCCTCTTGCTCTCTGCAGTAAGTTCACCCTTGTGTGTGCAGTGTTCAGCGGAGGTGCACAACTACTACAGCACTAGCCTGATTTACACTGATGTTCTAATAGGCAGGGTCATGTATTTGTAAGTACTTCAACACGTCCCTAAACAGCTAGAAAACACTTGGCTATTAAAATGTTCGTCCCATTTCACCTCATGCGATGTCAATACATCATAGTTGATGACGGAAAGCCAAGATTACTACGTCTATAAAAATTACATTGTCTGGTAACTATAACTGGAATTTCAGCAGAAAAATGGGCTATCTAGTGAAAAATGTCATCAATTGCTGTGTCCTGTGGCACTTACATGTTAGTTCAGAAGCTCTCTTTTCCATCCTAAACAGCTTAGCTGTTGTAAGCAGAAACCATTACATTTAGCAATCCTACATGTTTTTTGCAAGTGCTTTCTACCTGTTGAATTCAAACCTGCTTCTACAGATGATGAAAAAGCAAATAAAAATCCTAATAAAAGGTTTTCTGAAATGTGTAAGGATGTAATTTTCCTGTAAGATTCGATGATCCACTGGATCATTATATAGCAATTCTTAAATGCAATCATTTCTTGTCAGGCATAAGGGGTATGGTATGAAGTCGCATGAAAAGTCAAAAACATGCTGCCATGAATCAAAGCCCCTGTGATTCCTTCTGTGAGCAACTTACAGCTGCACGTGCCTGAAGGTCCGCTTCTGCTTCTAAGAGCATTAGGCCAAGTTCTAACATGGATTTACTCTGTGCTAGAACTCCAACCCCCTCAAGAGCGTTATGCATAGTGCCAGCTTAAATTAACTCCTCTTGCATTCAATCCAAACCCTTTCTTACCATTTTAGATAGGATAAGAGCTGAGAGATGGATTCAGTCATCTGGTCTGAGGGCCACCCATCATGCTAGTCCTTCTTTGGAGACTTCAGATGCGGTGCAAACTGGGTAGGGGAAGGGGGTGACCAGCCAGAGGGGCCAGAAAACTTTGTCTTTATACATGAGACCCCCTTTTAGGAGAAATAACATGGAGGAGGTCTGATTTATTTGCTGTATGCACATCTGACAGTAAGCCCCATCCAAAAGTAAAATTGTAGTATGTTAGGCACCCTGCTAACAATATTTGGAGTACTTCTTTCCTAGAGGAGCTGAACAGACAGACTAGCTGAAAGACAGGAAACGCCACTGTTTTATTTTATACATGAAGAATTGCAACATAGATTAAACTCTGCCCAAAGTCAGACAGAAAGCCTGAAACAAAAGATCTTAAACCCAGGCCTTTTTTAGCCCCCCCCCCTCCAAAACTACATTATCTTAAGAATATCACTTGTATTTTACGTTAATAGAAGTGAGAGCAGTCTGTCTGCCTATGGTGACAAGGAAAACATGCTGAAGCAAATAAGGATATGAGCAGAAGGAAGACAAGTTTTATTAAAAGTAATGTAATGAAATAAACCTAGCGCACATTGAGAACTACAAGCTAATTCAATGAAATTGGGCAGTCTTTAAAGTTGGGCAGCTGATATCTTGGTATCTGTGCAGGGTCTCAAAGGTTCTGTACCAAGTGTACAGAAGAGAAGGTTGGGAGGGGGCTCCAGCTGCAAATTTACAATTTAGCTACGGATTAAAAAATATTCAGGCTTTGTATGCTAGAGAGACTTATTCCATAATTCCTACCCATCCCTCCTCCACAGAAAAAGAAAAAAAAGATGAGAAATCAGTTTGAAGGAAGCTCTTGATGAAAAAGCCTTAGGATGACAATATGCTGTTACTTTACAAAAAGTCCAGTTGTTTTATAGGATTTAGAGATGATGGAAATGGACCTAACTACCAAGCATTCAGCATTTATTCAGTAGTAAGACTGAAAATAAATGTGAACATTTTATGGGTAGATATCACCATTCAGCTAATAAATAAGAATTCACAGCCATGTTTGCATTTAGGAGCTATGCCATAAATATAGCTTATCTCCAAGTATTTTCAACTTGCTAAAGTTACTTGAAAGCTTATCATGATAGAGTCCATTTAAAAGGAAAAGAATTAGAAATTATCTAAGATATGTGTCCCCAAATACCTCTCATAGTGCTAATTTGTATAGACCTTTCTAACACAGTTACTGTCTTCCCACACTGTTCCTACGTAGTTAGCTGGAAAACATCTTGCTAGCATATGTGACAGATTTCCTCAGACTTCAGAAGAATGACTATTTTAAGTCAGGTTGAAAAGCAGAGAAAAAAGTTGAAAACAAAATTCTTAATGTTCAAAAAAAATGTCTGAGATTTGAAGTAACATAATTAGAGAGAAAAAATTTAAATATTGTTTCTGAGTTGGCAGTGAGCTTTTTCTAATAAATATTTGATACGTAAAAGAAATGGTATGTAAATTGTAGAAATAATGCTTGTATGTGAGCAACAAAAAAAATGCAAGTCAAGATTAATACGCTGTTGGGAAGGAACATGCGTTTCTTGGAACTTGCTAAGTATATTTGTTGTGGTTCTGCAACTTCTGCTGCCATTTAGGCTGTTATTTACGCCTTAATCCTGTGAAGAGTTATATATATGCTTAATTTTATGCATTCTGAAGAGTTCGCCTAATGCGTAAAATTAACTGTATACAGAAATCTTTGGAGACTGGGAACTTGTTAGCTCTTAGATGAGAAGTCTGGTTCAGCTGCTGTTTTATCTTTTAATGATAGGATACCGTGGCACTTTTGGAACAGTAACAGAAGTCTGATGGTCCCCTGAAAATATCTTAAGTAATGGAGTTATAGCGTGGGTTTTAGTGGTTAGTATTTTCCTCATGGTTCCAGCTAAGTAAGTTATACTTCTCTTTATTTTCCTTCCAAATGTTTTTTGTAGTGTTGCTAGCACCAGTTAAAAAGAAAACATATATCTAAGTCAAATCATATCAGTGAGGACTATAGGATTTCAGTCATATTCTCTTCAGGAGCAGATAAAACGTACATACTCCAGAGAGTGATTTTTTCTGGAGTAAGCTATTTCTGTGTAGGATTTTATGAAGGAACACTGGTAAAACTTAGCCTAAGCTGTTCTTTCAAAATTGCTACTAACAGCAATTGCAGGAAGACCCAATCCTAAAGCATGATGTCTATGGGACGTGCACTTAGCCTGCCTCATTTTCCTCTTTCATTGACCTATTATTTTGTCCATTTCCAAGTGCTTTAAAATAACATCTTTCCCTCTTTTCCTTTCACATCATCTTATAAGGATCTTTAAGATGTTAGAGAGTGAATATACATTTCTTTCAGATGTTCAGCTACTCTTTTATCTCTCTGTTGCATGGTCTTCACAGCCCTCTTTCTCCCCGGCAGTGTCTGCTGGTCTGCTATGGCTGAGACTTCTCTATGGAGTTCCCAGTTAGCACTTTCCACTCATCTTGTGTTCCCAAGTCCATGGCCTGAAAAAATCTCTTCTATTTTGCCGGTCAAAATTCAGGCATTTCTATTGAATGGGAAATTTGGACATTTCAAAAGTTTCTTTTTGCCCAAATAGGAATGAAAAGTCTATATTCACTTCCCATGAAGTGAAAATTCCAGAACAGTGAGAGAATATCAAAATATGATCTCACCAAGTCATACTGTAGCACTGCAGTTTGCAGATCTGCCGTTTATGGTCAGAAAGGAGCATTATATTGTCCAGCTCAACATCCTGAAGGCTGTCAAATTTCACCTTGCTGTGAATTCACCACCTTATGCTTGGCTAAAGCAAACTGTGAGGAATCTCTGCCTCATGGAGAGTCCAAGAAGTTCGGAAAAAAATTAGCTGAGATTTGCCTTAGAATATTGGGCTTGGAGTTGAACACAGGTCAAGAAGCAGAGAAATGTCAGTGCTACACCAAGGAAAAGGTCTAGGCAGCGAATGTAGTCAGTGATTGAGCTAAGGGCAGAGGCCAAGGACTTTTATATTAAGTTAAAGATCTAAGGCTAGAAAGCTCATAATGCAAGGCTGCTCCAGAACAGGAGACATGACAGAACAGGAGATTTAGCAGGGCTGGAGCAAAATCAAATTCAGGAACGCAGCTACAGCCAGATAATCACGTTGCACAGTGAGGGAAATGGCATGCTGGGATGGCCTTATAAAACTGCTGGTTGGTTTACTTACCAGTCCTGATGTTTACTTGAGCTGAGGCTCTTATTTTCTAGAGCCACTCATAGTCATGTGATGCTGTCTTGGGTTGCTGTATATCATCTAAGTACAAAAGTCAGATCTTGATTTGAATCCTTCAAGACCACAGAATAGTTGAGGTTGAAAGAGACCTCTGGAGATCATCGAGTCCAACCCCCCTGCTCCAGCAGGGTCACCTAGAGCACAGGATCACGTCCAGATGGCCTTTGATTGTCTCCAAGGAAGAGATTCCACAACCTCTCTGGGCAACCTGTTCCAGTGCGCTGTCACCCTCACAGGAAAGAAGTTTTTCCTCAGGTTCAGATGGAACTGCCTGTGATTCAGTTTATGCCCGTTGCCTCTTGTCCTGTCACTGGGCACCGTGGAGAAGAGTCTGGCACCATCCTCTTGACACCCTCCCTTCAGATACTTGTGCACATTAATGAGATCCCCCTTCAGTCTTCTCCAGGCTGAACAGGGCCAGCTCTCTCAGCCTTTTCTCATCTGAGAGACGCTCCAGTCTGTTCATCATCTTAGCAGCCCTTTGTTGGATACACTCCAGGAGCTCCATGTCTCTCTTGTACTGGGGAGTCCAGAACTGGACACAGCACTGCAGATGAGGCCTCACTAAGGCTGAGTAGAGGAGGAGGATCACCTCCCTCCACCTGCTGGCAACACTCTGCCTCATGCAGTCTAGGAAACCATCGAACTTCTTAGTCACAAGGGCACATTGCTGGCTCATGGTCAACTTGTCCATTAGGATGTCCTTCTCCACACAGCAGCTTTCCAGCAGGTGAACCCCCAGCCTGTCCTGGTGCATGGGGTTATTCCTCCTTAGGTGCAGGACCCTGCACTTGCCTCTTGTTGAACTTCAGGAGGTTCCTCTCTGCCCACCTCTCCAGCCTCTCCAGCTCCCTCTGAATGGCAGCACAGCCTTCTGGTGTGTCAGCCTCTCCCCCCAGTTTTGTACCATCAGCCAACTTGCTGAGGGTGCACTCTGTCCCTTCCTCCAGGTCATTGATGAATACATTGAACAAGACTGGACCCAGGACTGACCCCTGGGGGACACCACTAGCTCCAAGCCTCCAACTGGACTCTGTGCCGCCAATCACAGCCCTCTGAGCTCTGCTATTCAGCCATTTCTCAATCTACCTCACTGTCCACTCATCCAGTCCACACTTCCTGAGCTTGTCTATGAGGATGTGATGGGAGACAGAGTCGAAAGGTTTCCTGAAGTCAAGATAGACAACATCTACTGCTCTCCCTTCATCTATCCTGCTAGTCATCCCATTATGGAAGGCTATCAGGTTGGTTAAGCATGATTTCCCCTTTGTGAAGCCATGC